TCACATTATTTTACATTATGACGCTTACTTAGTGTCCCAGCACAGTTGAGCCAGTCAAGTGTTTGTTTGTAAATAGCACAACAGGAGAAAGCTGAAGCAGGCTAGTCCAGCTGTGTATTGACAGAGGTCGCGTTTTATATTGAAAGTTAACAGTGTTGTTTTGCTTCAACAGAGTGATCAGGGATGTGCAACTATAGTTTTCCGTCACAGAAAATAGATTATTGCAACACGTTTGGCTGAAAATAGATTCATTTTCATCAGATGACAACAGAAGTGCAACGCTATTTGGCTGGCAGCCACAAGTAAATGAGCTTTCAATGAAAAAGCAAAAACTATGCATGGCCATCATAGTTTAGGCCTATCATAGAAAGAATGTAGCCAGCTACATTTCCTAATGTTTTGCTTAGAGTTCATCTTGCATTTTACCTGAGGAAAGTAGGCTGCCTAGTGGCTACACGGAGAAGAAACTTACACAGTCAGAGTGCCGTCTGCAGATAGAATGCCCGTTCGTGAATTCTCATCTGAGTTCAGAAGTGCAACTGAAGCACAGTCTGATGCCGAGCAGAAATTACAGTAAGAAGCATTTTAGATCTGCATTTACAAAACACAGCAAGATAAACTACTTATACACAGTGTCTTCGGAAAGTATTCAGACCCATTGACTTTTTCCACATTTTGTTACGTTACAGCCTTATTCTAAAATGGATTAAAATAGATTTTTCCCCTCATCAATATTCACACAATACCCCATAATGACAAAGCAAAAACTGGTTTTTAGAAAATGTTGCAAAAAATAAGAACTGAAATAACATATTTACACAAGTATTCAAACCCTTTACTCAGTACTTTGTTTAAGCACCTTTGGCAGTGATTACAGCTTCAGCTTGGGTATGATGCTACAAGCTTGGCACACCTGTATTTGGGGAGTTTCTCCCATTCTTCTCTGCAGATCCTCTCAAGCTCTGTCAGGTTGGATGGGTAGCATAGCTGCACAGCTATTTTCAGGTCTCTCCAGAGATGTTCGATCTGGTTCTGGCTGGGCCACTCAAGGACATTGAAACTTGTCCCGAAGCCACTCCAGTGTTGTCTTGGCTGTGTGCTTAGGGTCGTTGAACTGTAGGATGGTGTAGGTTCGCACCAGTCTGAGGTCCTGAGCGCTCTGGAGAAGGTTTTCATCAAGGATCTTTCTGTACTTTGCTCCGTTCATCTTTTCCTCGATCCTGACTAGTCTGCCAGTCCCTGCCTCTGTAAACCATCCCCGCAGCATGATGCTGCCACCATGCTTCACTGTAGGGATGGTGCCAGGTTTCCTCCAGACATGATGCTGCCACCACGCTTCACTGTAGGGATGGTGCCAGGTTTCCTCCAGACATGATGCTGCCACCACGCTTCACTGTAGGGATGGTGCCAGGTTTCCTCCAGACATTATGCTTTTTTCCCCTTCTTTTTTTTTTTTTGCTTGGCATTCAGGCCAAAGCGTTCAATCTTGGTTTCATCAGACCGGAGAATCTGGTTTCTTATGGTCAGAGTCTTTAGGTGGCTTTTGGCAAACTCCAAGCGAGCATCATGTGCCTTTTACTGAGGAGTGGCTTCCGTCTGGCCACTCTACCATAAAGGCCTGATTGGTGGAGTGCTGCAGAGACGGTTGTCCTTCTGGAAGGTTCTCCCATCGCCACAGAGGAACTCTGGAGCTCTGTCAAAGTGACCATCGGGTTCTTGGTCACCTCCCTGACCAAGGCCCTTATCCCCCAATTGCTCAGTTTGGCCGGGCGGCCAGCTCTAGGAAGAGTCTTGGGGATTCCAAACTTCTTCCATTTAAGAATAATGGAGGCCACTGTGTTCTTGGGGACCATCAATGCTGCAGAAATTTTTTGGTACCCTTCTCCAGATCTGTGCCTCGACACAATCCTGTCTCGGAGCTCTACGGACAATTCCTACGACCTCATGACTTTTTTTTGCTCTGACATGCAATGTCAACTGTGGGACCTTATATAGACAGGTGTGTGCCTTTCCAAATCATGTCCAATCAATTGAATTTACCACAGGTGGACTCCAATCAAGTTGTAGAAACATCTCAAGAATGATCATTTGAAACAGGATGCACCCAAGCTCAATTTTGAGTCTCATAACAAAAGGTCTGAATACTTACGGAAATAAAAAAAAAAAGTCTAAAAAACTGTTTTTGTTTTGTCATTATACGGTATTTTGTGTAGATTGATGAGGAAACATTTTTATTTAATACATTTTAGAATAAGGCTGTAACGTAACAAAAAGTGGAAAAAGTCTAGGGGTCTGAATACTTTCCGAAGGCACTGTATAAAAGTATGTGGACACTCCTTCAAAATAGTGGATTTGGCTATTTCAGCCACACCCATTGCTGACAGGTGTATAAAATCGAGCACACAGCCATGCAATCTCCATAGACAAACATTGGCAGTAGAATGGCCTTGCTGAAGAGCTCAGTGACTTTCAACGTGGCACGGTCATAGGATGCCACCATTCCAACAGGTCAGTTCGTCAAATTTCTGCCCTGCTAGCGTTGCCCCGGTCAACTGTAAGTGCTGGTATTGTGAAGTTGAAACGTCTAGGAGCAACAACAGCTCAGCTGCGAAGTGGTAGCCCAAACAAGCTCACAGAAAGTGACCGCCAAATGCTGAAGTGCGTAAAACTCGTCTGGAACTCGGTAGTGAGTGTTGCAACTGAGGACAAACTGCCTCTGGAAGCAACGTCAGCACAATAAATGTTTGTCGGGAGCTTCATGAAATGGGTTTCCATGGCCGAGCAGCCGCACACAAGCCTAAGATCACCATGCACAATGCCAAGCGTCAGCTGGAGTGGTGTAAAGCTCGCCGCCATTGGATTCTGGAGCAGTGGAAACGGGTTCTCTGGAGTGATGAATCAAGCTTGGCGGATGCCAGGAGAACGCTACCTGCCCCAATACATAGTGCCAACTGTAAAGTTTGGTGGACGAGGAGTAATGGTCTGGGGCTGTTTTTCATGGTTCGGGCTAGGCCCTTTAGTTCCAGTGAAGGGAAATCTTAACGCTACAGCATACAATGACATTCTAGACGATTCTGTGCTTCCAACTTTGTGACAACAGTTTGGGGAAGGCCCTTTCCTGTCTCAGCATGACAATGCCCCTGTGCACAAAGTGAGGTCCATATAGAAATAGTTTGTCAAGTTCGGTGTGGAAGAACTTGACTGGCATGCACAGAGCCCTGACCTCAACCCCATTGAATGCCTTTGGGATGAATTGGAATGCTGACTGCAAGCCAGGCGTAATCGCCCAACATCAGTGCCCGACCTCACTAATGCTATTGTGGTTGAATGGAAGCAAGTCCACGCAGCAATGTTCCAACATCTAGTGGAAAGCCTTCCCAGAAGAGTGGAGGCTGTTATAGCAGCAAAGGGGGGACCAACTCCATTTTAATGCCCATGATTATGGAATGAGTATCAGCCACAGTGGTCTGGACTCAGGGCCTGTTGATCTAAAGTCACAGTATCAGCCACAGTAGTCTGGACCCAGGGCCTGTTGATCTAGTCACAGTATCAGCCACAGTAGTCTGGACCCAGGGCCTGTTGATCTAAAGTCACAGTATCAGCCACAGTAGTCTGGACCCAGGGGCCTGTTCTTTTAGTCACAGTATCAGCCACAGTAGTCTGGACCCAGGGGCCTGTTCTTTTAGTCACAGTATCAGCCACAGTAGTCTGGACCCAGGGCCTGTTGATCTATTCACAGTATCAGCCACAGTAGTCTGGACCCAGGGCCTGTTGATCTACAGTTACAGTATCAGCCACAGTAGTCTGGACCCAGGGCCTGTTGATCTACAGTCACAGTATCAGCCACAGTAGTCTGGACCCAGGGCCTGTTGTTTTAGTCACAGTATCAGCCACAGTAGTCTGGACCCAGGGCCTGTTGATCTAAAGTCACAGTATCAGCCACAGTAGTCTGGACCCAGGGCCTGTTGATCTACAGTCACAGTATCAGCCACAGTAGTCTGGACCCAGGGCCTGTTGATCTCCAGTCACAGTATCAGCCACAGTAGTCTGGACCCAGGGCCTGTTGATCTACAGTCACAGTATCAGCCACAGTAGTCTGGACCAAGGGCCTGTTGATCTCCAGTCACAGTATCAGCCACAGTAGTCTGGACCCAGGGCCTGTTGATCTCCAGTCACAGTATCAGCCACAGTAGTCTGGACCCAGGGCCTGTTGATCTACAGTCACAGTATCAGCCACAGTAGTCTGGACCCAGGGCCTGTTGATCTAGTCACAGTATCAGCCACAGTAGTCTGGACCAAGGGCCTGTTGATCTACAGTCACAGTATCAGCCACAGTAGTCTGGACCCAGGGCCTGTTGATCTAAGTCACAGTATCAGCCACAGTAGTCTGGACCCAGGGCCTGTTGATCTAAAGTCACAGTATCAGCCACAGTAGTCTGGACCCAGGGCCTGTTGATCTAGTCACAGTATCAGCCACAGTAGTCTGGACCAAGGGCCTGTTGATCTACAGTCACAGTATCAGCCACAGTAGTCTGGACCCAGGGCCTGTTGATCTACAGTCACAGTATCAGCCACAGTAGTCTGGACCCAGGGCCTGTTGATCTAGTCACAGTATCAGCCACAGTAGTCTGGACCAAGGGCCTGTTGATCTACAGTCACAGTATCAGCCACAGTAGTCTGGCCCCAGGGCCTGTTGATCTACAGTCACAGTATCAGCCACAGTAGTCTGGACACAGGGCCTGTTGATCTAGTCACAGTATCAGCCACAGTAGTCTGGACCCAGGGCCTGTTGATCTACAGTCACAGTATCAGCCACAGTAGTCTGGACACAGGGCCTGTTGATCTAGTCACAGTATCAGCCACAGTAGTCTAGACCCAGGGCCTGTTGATCTACAGTCACAGTATCAGCCACAGTAGTCTGGACCAAGGGCCTGTTGATCTACAGTCACAGTATCAGCCACAGTAGTCTGGACACAGGGCCTGTTGATCTAGTCACAGTATCAGCCACAGTAGTCTGGACCCAGGGCCTGTTGATCTACAGTCACAGTATCAGCCACAGTAGTCTGGATCCAGGGCCTGTTGATCTACAGTCACAGTATCAGCCACAGTAGTCTGGACACAGGGCCTGTTGATCTACAGTCACAGTATCAGCCACAGTAGTCTGGACCCAGGGCCTGTTGATCTACAGTCACAGTATCAGCCACAGTAGTCTGGACCCAGGGCCTGTTGATCTACAGTCACAGTATCAGCCACAGTAGTCTGGACCCAGGGCCTGTTGATCTACAGTCACAGTATCAGCCACAGTAGTCTGGACACAGGGCCTGTTGATCTAGTCACAGTATCAGCCACAGTAGTCTGGACCCAGGGCCTGTTGATCTACAGTCACAGTATCAGCCACAGTAGTCTGGACACAGGGCCTGTTGATCTAGTCACAGTATCAGCCACAGTAGTCTAGACCCAGGGCCTGTTGATCTACAGTCACAGTATCAGCCACAGTAGTCTGGACACAGGGCCTGTTGATCTAGTCACAGTATCAGCCACAGTAGTCTAGACCCAGGGCCTGTTGATCTAGTCACAGTATCAGCCACAGTAGTCTGGATCCAGGGCCTGTTGATCTACAGTCACAGTATCAGCCACAGTAGTCTGGATCCAGGGCCTGTTGATCTAGTCACAGTATCAGCCACAGTAGTCTGGATCCAGGGCCTGTTGATCTACAGTCACAGTATCAGCCACAGTAGTCTGGATCCAGGGCCTGTTGATCTAGTCACAGTATCAGCCACAGTAGTCTGGATCCAGGGCCTGTTGATCTACAGTCACAGTATCAGCCACAGTAGTCTGGACCCAGGGCCTGTTGATCTAGTCACAGTATCAGCCACAGTAGTCTGGACCCAGGGCCTGTTGATCTACAGTCACAGTATCAGCCACAGTAGTCTGGACCCAGGGCCTGTTGATCTACAGTCACAGTATCAGCCACAGTAGTCTGGACCCAGGGCCTGTTGATCTACAGTCACAGTATCAGCCACAGTAGTCTGGACCCAGGGCCTGTTGATCTACAGTCACAGTATCTCCAGGGAGGGAGGGACAAACCTGGCTGGCTGTCTGGGGAGCTTTTATAATGCACCACTGACTCATTCCTCTTAACAATAGTCCCACATAGCTACAACAAATACACAATGCAACCACAAACAGAGACACATGCAGGCTAGCATTACATACACACATACAGTCACACACACACACACAGGCATAAGAACAAAACAGTGTGAGACACAAACACACCATTTGGCATCAGCAGGTGTCTATCATTTCTAGTAAACAGTGTGGAATGACCACAGTAACACCTCCTAAGAGAAGAGGGAGTTGGCCTTTGATTAGGAAGCAGAGACCGAGAGCCTCTTACCCCCACTGGACTCCACCAAAGCCCACACACACATACACATAATCCCTAGCAGGCAGCTGGGGTGGCAGCCACCACCAAAACAGGGGTTAGGTTATTTCATTTACCTTGGGCCATGTCTTACTGTTTTCCTAGGCTTTCTAGCATCAGCTCATGAAGGCTAAATATTTGCAGTGTGGTACATCATGTAAACTGCTGCATGATGCTGGCTGAGGTAATGTGGGCTCAACAGGGCAGGAACAACAGGAGTACTGGCCTACTTCGGAAACGAGGTATGGTCACACACACGCTCACCTCGGATGCTGGCAAACACACTCACACACACAGCCCCAGGGTTCCGTTCCGGTCAAAGTGACCTCGGAATGCTTTTTAGAATGTCATAGACACAAGATGACCTGCTCCAATACCATGCCATCAACACACTGTTCACATTAACTATCCAATGAGACCCTAGCTTTGAAATCCTGTAGCCAAGGCAACTCACAGTGGATACATTGAATAAACATACAATTCACTATAATCAATTCCTAGTTAACAGTGATATGCCAATGGAGTTTAGACTTCAACTGAAAAGCGCCACATCCCCTGTTTCTTACATATTATAACAGTTAATCAATAGTTGAAGCAGCCTTTAAAGAATAACAGACATCCTCCCAGGTCTCCCACCATGTGAGTGGAGTTCTAGGCAACACACCCTGCATGCCAGACAGGTAGAGCTATGATAACAGAATACAGCTCTATCCATCAGGCCAGACAGGTCGAGCTATGATAACAGAATACAGCTCTATCCATCAGGCCAGACAGGTAGAGCTATGATAACAGAATACAGCTCTATCCATCAGGCCAGACAGGTCGAGCTATGATAACAGAATACAGCTCTATCCATCAGGCCAGACAGGTCGAGCTATGATAACAGAATACAGCTCTATCCATCAGGCCAGACAGGTAGAGCTATGATAACAGAATACAGCTCTATCCATCAGGCCAGACAGGTCGAGCTATGATAACAGAATACAGCTCTATCCATCAGGCCAGACAGGTCGAGCTATGATAACAGAATACAGCTCTATCCATCAGGCCAGACAGGTCGAGCTATGATAACAGAATACAGCTCTATCCATCAGGCCAGACAGGTAGAGCTATGATAACAGAATACAGCTCTATCCATCTGTCTGGCCCTAGCTTCATTGTTGTTGTCGATATTTTGGGACACTGGACAGCTGATTGCTTGATCGAGTATACAAGCCCTTTAACTAGATACTAACTGTAAGTCGCTCTGGATAAAAGCGTCTGCTAAATGACTAAGAATGTAAAATGTAAATCTCTCCAGATTTCCCCAATATCCCTATGGAGATAAAGGAGAGGGTGGGAGGTAGCATAGGTGTCATTCCCATAGGGGGCACAGTGCCCCCTCAGATCTGTCCTGTTTAGAATTTGGTTATTTCTCTGTAATAATACTAGCCACCTAGCAATTGTATGAAGTTGGCTTTATCTAGCCCAGATTGGGAACCAATCTCCCAACCTCATAACTACCAAGAAGCCATTTCAGGCTATCAATCAAGTTATAGTAGCTAGCTTGTCTAACCATCTTAGCTGGCAAATTCCTTTCAATCTTTTACCTAGATTTTAGCAGAGAAGCATATTTAGTTTCTTAAACAAAATAACCACCAGTCAGGAGGATACAGACAGCTCAAGAGGTATGCTTAGATATGCAGAAATTATTTACCTAGAATTAAGCGTAATGATTATGGCTCTAGATTGCGCAGATTTATGTTTATTGTCATGAATCTTGCCGTGGAGGCAGGAACTGGGCGATTTCCGTTAGATGGACCAGCTGCAAAGTGAAGACTGGCTATATCGTAAAAATTAATGACAACAAAAATGTGCTTTTTAAAATCTTAATTTAAGGTTAGGGTTAGGCATTAGGGTTAGCAGTGTGGTTAAGGTTAGGTTTAGAATCAGATTGTATGACTTTGTGGCTGTGCCGGCTAGTGACCACTCTGTAGAGCTGCAGGAATAAGCGGTTTCAGGTGTTTGAAAAATTCTAAATTCTCCACCTTCAGGACAGGGGCCTAGCCCCTCTCCGGACCACCCCCCAGCCATCCTCACGTACTCTGTGCCCCCTCAGATTGTTGGGGTGCATGTCGCCCCCGAGAGAAAGGCTACTCCCTCCCAGTCACTCACTTCTGGATGCTGGCACGCTATTGGCAATTGCCATGATCCTCAATGTTTTCCAGCGCTCTGACAGAAAGCTAAGTATGGCCTTCACATAAACAGCAATCCAGGGTCTTGTGTTTACGTAACCTCGTCCCCAGGCAATTGCGCACATAAGCCTGGGATATCAACGATTAAAGGATGGCCTTAGTGGGAGTGACCATAAAATTCTATGGGGGTGACCTACTGAGTAAAGTATTTGTCATCATTGTGTGTTGTGGGAGATGAAGCCAATGCCTTTCTGCATTGGCTAACGAAGGCCAAGTTGACACGTTGGTCAACCAGACTCTTCACGCATTTGGGTGGAAGTGTCTGGCAACAAGATTAGTGCTTACGTAACGAGAGAGCGAGAGAAAAAAAAACGAGAGATGTGGAGGCTGTGCGGAATAACCAGGCTCTGCAGCTGCCATGGCAACGGCGGAACGTTGACGTATGGGTAATCAGGAACTGTGTGTCTTCGAGTTCAGATACAGATGTTGGCTGTTATCAGGATGTTGGGGGTATATCAGTATTTATTCATGTATGTGTGCGTGTGTGTGTTTACGTGCATATAAGGACCGGGCGTGCTCCAGGGATTTGCCCCCATCCCCGACTGAACACAGAGCAGTTTGTTTGATAACACTCTGCCCCCTCCTTCCCTCCCCCGTCGTGTCCTTCTGGGAATCAGTAAGGGAAGTCCTGTTTGAGACACTCCCCTTCTCTTCACGGGGAAATGTGAGGGACATGTGACACTGTGGTCTGTACTCACCACCACGGTGATGCCGTCCTTCTCCAGTGGAGCCTTGTCATAGGTCACCTCACACACTCTAACCACCGTCGTGGCTCCGTACTTCTTAAGGTCCTACGGGGGGGGGGGGGGGGATAGGTTAAAAGTAACTCACACTGTGTGTGTGTGGGGGGGGGGGGGGGGCTTGGAGCAGTGTCGAGAAAATGTGATAGTGCAACCAAAGCCGAGAGAGAGAGACGGGGGGAGAGAGAGAGACTGGGAGAGAGAGAGAGAGAGAGACGGGGAGAGACAGACGGGGAGAGAGAGAGACAGACGGGGAGAGAGAGACAGACGGGGAGAGAGAGAGCGAGAGAGAGAGACGGGGAGAGAGAGAGAGAGACGGGAGAGAGAGAGAGAGCGAGAGAGGACGGGGAGAGAGAGCGCGAGAGACGGGGATAGATAGACGGGAGAGAGAGAGACCGACTGGGAGAGAGAGAGAGATAGCAGCGAGAGAGAGAGAGAGAGACGGGAGAGAGAAGAGAGACAGACTGGGAGAGATAGAGAGAGATAGGCGAGAGAGAGAGAGAGAGAGGAAGAGAGAGCGCGAGAGAAAGAGAGAGACGGGGAGATAGAGCGAGAGAGAGACGGGAGAGAGAGAGAGACGGGGTATGAGAGGACGGGGAAGAGAGAAGAGGACGGGGAGAGAGAGAGATACGGAGAGAGAGATAGCGGGGAGAGAGAGAGAGACGGGAGAGAGAGAGATCGAGAGAGAACGGGGAGAGAGAGAGATAGCGAGAGAGAGCAAGCGAGATACGGGGAGATAGAGAGAGCGGGGAGAGAGAGAAACAGGTAGAGAGAGAGCGACGGGGCTAGGCGAGACGTGGAGAGCGAGTAGAACAAATAGTAGTAGTATGAGAGAGAAAGGATATCAACAGAACGAGTGAGAAGAGAGGGATAGAGCGGTCCTCACCTCGATGAAGCTGTTGAGGGTGGAGTTGGTGGGGTTGTGCGTGATGAGCAGCCGCATGTTCTTGTAGCACACCTCGGCCGGCGCCGGACGGTTCATACGGGCCATGTTGACAACCGTTACCCAGCTGGGGGGGCGAATGCAACACGGACAGGGACGCACAGGGGACACAAACTGGTGGACCACGGTCGCCACGGTAGCTGGTGGGCTAAACTCCTCCGAAAACTCCTCTTCAACCCTGCAGACGTTATCAGTTCTTTCCCTCCTTTGAAAAGATCCGTCCTCGGGTTGGTCGATCCTCTGGGGTCACTATGGTTGGTTTAGATGAGGAAGAGCGTAGCCGCGGTCTTGGGGCTTTCACTGAAGAGTAGTGGAATAGTTAGTCCAATCACCCCATTAGAGTTCCTGAGAGAGGGTCTTAAGGTGAGAGATCTAGGGGGGTGGAGAGTCCTGGGAGGCAGGGAGCCCTTCAGTGCAGGGTAGTAGGTAGAGAAGGCAAAGCAGTGGGCATCCTCCCCTGGATCAGCCTATGCTCTGGGATGTTGAGCGTGGCAGTAGTCTCCAGTCTTCTGCAAGAACGCCATCAAAAGCACAGTGCCAAGGGTGTAAAACTGTGTGGTGCCAAAGGGGAAGGGGCAAAGAAAGACAGAAAATAGAGTTAGCCCTGATAAATCTGAGACCCATTGGCTGCCTCCTGATGAAGGGCTGTCTGGAGAACAGACTACACAATGATATTTCCCTCACTTTCTCTCATTCCCCCACAACTAGCACTATGTAAATAAACTATGATTGATGATGTGCAACATCAATTAATGGTCTAATGTTTCAATGAGCAACAAGGGCATTCATTTCACCTTCAGTCAGTTTTAATTTCCCCAACTAATTTGCCACATTAGATATGCTGGAAATCATTCTCAAGGTTCAACATAATAACAAGCATGCCAATTATAAAAAAATATCACAGAAAACTGAGTTTATCATCTGCTCTACCACTTACAATTTTGTCTTGTGTAAAAAAAAAAAAACATTTGAAAAACATTGTTTACAATTGCCCACATTAGTCCTGATTCAAATATAACATTAGCCTAGCCTACAGTGATGCCTTATGGAACATTGTATTGATAACAAAACACACACACGCATTCATACAGATTAACTTCATAACCTAAAAATCTAATTCAACCTGTGCAATCAAAAGCACCACTGTTATAACATACTGACCGACCTACTGTAGCCTCCCCCCCACCACCCCCGCAAAGTCGCACCTTTGTTCACTCCGGCGATTTAAAACTCCCGGTGTGAACAAAACATAATACTAGTCCACATCATAGCCATATACTTAAGATAAATATGGCTCTGGTCCACAGCCACCGAATCTTCCGACCGCTCCTCGAATAATGAATACGACACAGACAGACCAAACAGCTATCTTGCAGAACCGCTTTCAGTTTGTACAGGGTCGATAATAAACCCTACATAACCCTCAACGAAAATGCGCACACTGGTTATATGAGAGAAGAGACGTATATGACCAAACTAGATTATGCGCCCGTCTCTATCTCTCTCTAGTTGCTCTATCCCCTCCCCTCCCTGTGCCACTTACCTTACGCAGCTCCCTGCTCGGAATTCAGCCTGTTGTTCCCAAGAGAATAAGAGGAGGTAAACAGTCTCTACAGCCGACACCAAATGCCCTTTTCTCTGACTCGGTTGAGATAGTTCAGACTTGATTTATGGCACGTAGCACACTGTAGCCTACTCAGCTACACTCCGTCGGGTCTGATGCTCCTATCACAGCAAAGCGGACACAGCCTCCTCTGCTCATACGAGCGGGGAGGGAGAGCCGCCCACCACTATCTATTCCACCTCATTTCCATTATTCAGTTCTCATCTCAGTATCTGTCGCTGAAACCGCCAAAAGTTTCTCACTTGCAGCAAGAAATCAACATTGTCAGGAAAGTCTTAAACTGTCTGCCACTACTAACTCTTGTATTTATCCCCACCGATTATGCTACTTTACGCATTCATGTCGCCCGAGTTCGTTGAGATTACGAGAGAGTGAATTTGCGAATGGAGAACGCTTCTATATTCCCAAACACTTAATATCTGTGGCAATGTTACATAAATTCTTGACATGTTGTGAATGAGATATTCTTGAAAGAGGTCACATTTTAAAACATTACAAGTGCCTCTTAGGACCCAAATAAATAAACAACCAGTAAAGTAAATTAGAAGAAGGGAGATATAACAGCCCATGCTAGATTAAGCAACATAAGGATTTGGGTTGCTTGGAGAAAGATGCTGACCCGACATTTCATGAGGACCCAGGGGAAAACACACTGAGTCCTTAAAAAGAGCATTGGGAGGGAGCAGTAAAACAGACAATAAAAGGGGTCGGGTCCCCCACCAAATAAATCCATTTGCACTCCAAATAAACAATGAGAGTAAAGCGATCTAACTTTCCCATCTGTGATTTTCATTGCCTCCGCTCATGCCTCATCTGTCCAGCAGCTCTCTCTTTTTCCCCTGAGCTCCCCGTCTAAACCATTAGCCATACAGTTCGAAAGGCCTGGCCTCTACCTGTCTTGCATGCCCAAGCAACTGAACCACAAGTAAAATGGAAAACCTATTCTATACCACCCTGACAATCGTGCTTGAAAAAACCAAAGTCCAAACCTATAATCTTTAAAGTGAAGTGACAAACTGCGATTCTAGGTGGGTAGATGAGTAGCACAGGCAAAGTTAAACAAACAGAAGCACACAATTACAGGCTGAGGTCCCCGAGTAGGGTCCAGTTCCCAGACGTCAGTACAGTGGGAGCTATGGTGGAGCTTAATTGTGTGGTGCTGTGATGTGTGTTTGTGCCGGTTAGACTCGAGGGTCACATGCAATCAATGTGTGTGTGTGTGTGTGTGTGAGAGAGTGAGAGAGAGCGAAATCAGTAAACATCCTTAGAAAAAGTACAAGGGTGGTGGGTGAACACGTGCATACACATACACACACACACACAACAGGTGGACTGACTGGCTAAATGAAACAGGGGGGGGGGGGGGGGGGGGGGAGAACAGTGTTGGTTGTTTGCAGTACCTTCTTTGTTGTTGTCATATCGCAAACGTACGTGGCCGTTTCACTATTAAGGATTCCAGCTTTAAGTATCTGATCTAATGGATCTAGGGGTGTTGGAACCACAGAACTAGAATGTGTTATTTTCCATTCTATTACTATTGTAGACACATGCATTATCCTCCATTGAGCTCCTACGCCCTTAATCAAATGGAGTGGCAGTCTCTTCTTCCTTCAGAACAATTACCCAGCTCTTTCCCACAAGGGTAACATGAATAAATATTTACGCTGACCATTTTAAGAGCAGCTGTTGGTATCTGGGACCTGGGTATGACGGCACTTCAATAAACCGCAAACCAGGGAAAGGAGAGGAGCGAGCAGCGTTGCAGTCAAGTTTAATTGATGGCAAGGAGGTTGGGGATTGGTGGAGGTGGAGAAGGAGGAGGGGGAGGACAAGGAGGAGGAAAAGGAGGACAAGGAGGAGGAGGATGCCCCTGTTAGCAGCATCCAGGGCTGGTTCGCTGGGTCAACTGTACACCTTTCAGGACTAACAAGAGTTTAGATGAGAGCCCATGTGCTATCCCCAAACCCCCGCCCCCCCCCCCACCCCGGATCAGCATTGGGGGTTGCAAGTGCAGATGCATCCCTAGTGCTCGTGCACCCATGTCACGTTGCTGCAACGTGTCCCCTTGGAACCTGGAGATAAATATTTCTGCACCTTGATGGTGGCGGTGGTCACAGAGAGGCCTGTCTGGAGGTGTCAGCTCAGAGTCTGGTTTCTCAATTTGGAGGAGACTCCGACTTGGCGGGTGGTTGGACCGATAGGTCGATTTGCTATTTTGAAATGCCAAGTCATATGACTGTGCCGAGATGGTGTCCTCCTTAAAATGCTAGCGTTTCTTATTATGAAAATGACCTCTTCAAAGAGTGACGGTTTAATCTTGTGGAGACACACGATATGAGAGGTGTAAGGACAAGTGAGTCTAGCATCATGCGACGGGGTGATAGTTGTGACTGACTGTAAGTGGTTTGGGTGTGTGTATATGTGTTTTTGCCGGTGTCAGTGTGTATGTGTGTTTGCGTGTGTGTTTTTGCCAGTGTCAGTGTGTGTGTGTGTGTGTATGCGTGTGTGTTTTTGCCGGTGTGTGTGTGTGTGTGTATGCGTGTGTGTTTTTGCCGGTGTCAGTGTGTGTGTGTGCATGTGTTTGCGTGTGTGTTTTTGCCGGTGTCAGTGTGTGTTTGTTACAGTGTGTAACCTCCATGTCCAACAGGGTTGTTTTGACACCAGGCACTTCAGTGAGGCGATTTTGATGAACGGGGACCTGATGCGCTCTGGACTGAAACTGAACTAAAAATAACTCTGCCAGCAGCTTTAGGCAGAGAGCTGAGGGCTGCACAGTATGAGATAACATGGGAGAGAGGGGAGGGGAGTGTGTGTGCTTGTTTTGAAATCAAAGATGCGCTCCATGAAATTTGAGCAATCCGCTGACTGCTGCCATTTGAAAAGGTGAAGATTAAGATGGCATAGGCTAAACTTGGAAATTAGGAAATGAATATTCTTGGCATGGAAATGGAGGGTTACATTAAATGAGTAGTGTCAAATCAGTCCAGGACTAGCTACAGAATTGGAACGGGATATGTGATGCTCCCTTACTCATTATAGCTTAGCTAGTGTAAAGCCTCTGAATACATTTTTCAACTAAACTTAACGTGGCGATAACGTTACTTCCTCTCCACCAGGAAGTGACCAGGGTCTTCTCATCTCCCATTGCAGGTGGAACGTAAGAATTTAGAAAATGCTCTGCTATTAAATTGTATCCATTTTTACTCCATGAGGTAAACCAACAATGTGTACACCGCCATATTGTCTGTTTCTGATCTTCTCTCATTGATCGAGACAGGTGAGTGTCATTCAAAGTGACGCTAGATTTCTGAGTCGCACTCATTTTGGGGTGGGCACCCACCTGTCTCGAGCAATGACAGAAGATCTGAAATATGCAATATGGCTGTGTTGTGTTCTAAGGGGAGAGACCTGGGAGCTCTCTGTACATGGCTGGGTCGTGTTCTAAGGGGAGAGACCTGGGAGCTCTCTGTACATGGCTGGGTCGTGTTCTGAGGGGAGAGACCTGGGAGCTCTATGTACATGGCTGGGTCGTGTTCTGAGGGGAGAGACCTGGGAGCCCTCTGTACATGGCTGGGTCGTGTTCTGAGGGGAGAGACCTGGGAGCCCTCTGTACATGGCTGGGTCGTGTTCTGAGGGGAGAGACCTGGGAGCTCTCTGTACATGGCTGGGTCGTGTTCTAAGGGGAGAGACCTGGAGCTCTCTGTACATGGCTGGGGTCGTGTTCAGAGGGGAGAGACCTGGGAGCTCTCTGTACATGGCTGGGTCGTGTTCTAAGGGGAGAGACCTGGGAGCTCTCTGTACATGGCTGGGTCGTGTTCTAAGGGAGAGACCTGGGAGCTCTCTGTACATGGCTGGGTCGTGTTCTGAGGGGAGAGACCTGGGAGCTCTCTGTACATGGCTGGGTCGTGTTCTGAGGGGAGAGACCTGGGAG